GCAGCTTTTCAGAAAGACTCATGCTTTTAGATGACTCCCTTTGGTGAGTTTGGTGTATGATGAAGTGACGACTTCCTTTGGAGACACTTGCGTGGCACAATGTGCCATGAAAACAAGAATTGTTTCCCCAGCATGCATGTAGAGTTCACAAATTTGGTTCCTACTAGTACTTCCTTTGTTCGGTTTCTCATGGTTTCTCCCACTTTCTCTCTGTTTTCGATATTTTGGGTGAACAAGGCAAGTTCTCCCACAACGAGTTTGTCGTGATGTCGCATTGTGATGCCACAGTGTATCGTAAAGAGCTTGGAGTTGAGGCAGTTTTGCCTCCAAAAGATCACACAAGGAACTTTGGGGCGGAACAGGTATTTCCTGGGCATTTGTTGTTAGCAGGAAAGATCTGTTTTGGATAGTCTAGGTGCCGGTATTGACATTTGTTTTGCCAATCTTCCAGGCAGCATCAGAGAAGCCCCCGGAAGTCCACATGGAGACTGCGGAGAAAGACCCGGAGGCGTCTTGCAGAGAAATTCGTGATTTTCTAGCTGTTCGTCCAGAAGTTGTGGGAAGTGGTGCTCAGGGGACCCCAAAGCAACTGGTGGTACCACCCCATCTACCTTTTCATTGTGGTCTCACGACAGGGTGTTGCATCGAGCCGGGCTGTAGCTGGCTGTACCGAGTTGTGCCAAGAAACAGCATGCAACACCTGTTTGTTCTCAGGTTTTTTGATGCTCTTGGGAATTAATGTGGTGTGAGTTGAATGATGTTGAATGTTTCTATATGTTTTTATCACTGTGGAATTGTTGAACCATTGGATGTTCATTGGCTGTCCCTTCTACTACTGTCGGGGTTTTAGGTGGTCTTTTTCATTTGCTGCTGTCCAGGCGTCAGAGAAGCCGCCAGAGGTCAAAATGGAGACTGAGGAGAAACCACCGGAGGTGTCGTCTCGCACGGAGTTTCGCCGGAGACGTGGCGTGGACCTTTTTGAAACCTGTTGCACCCCGCCATGGGCAGTCTTGAAGTCTTGAACTGCCGAGCAGCATGGGAACATGGTATGTTGTGCGACTTGGCTACTTGGCTGAAGGTGATATCTCTGAGTGGACGAACCAATGGATGTACATCCACTACAGATGTTTTTGGAGAGACTTGGGAGAGGATTGGACCACATCTAATTGTGCTTTGAGTCGGCACCCCCAGGATGATGTCCATGACCATCAGGTGTGTCAATGACATTCAATGACTTCTGTGTTTGTTTGCAGTGATTTTGGCCGTGCATTTGGCCCCGCCGTTGGGTTGTTTTCTCGTTGGATGGTCTTGGTGCGATCCCCCCGAACGGCGCAGGTGCAGTCGGTACAGTGTTCTCATGTTGATCAGTTCAATGGAATTTTAAGCCGCCAGGGCCTCAGGGTATAGACATGTTGGTCGACCAACAGGTTTTAGCAACTGGTTTGACTGGTATGCAGATGACAATCCGCACTGACTCGAGACAATGCCAGCCTCGCCTAAAACTACAACCCCACTTGGACCCCGGAAAGAAGAGTACATTCTCACAATCCAGAGGGTTTGGTGATGATTTGTTTTGCAGTGAACAGCCAATCCATCCAATATCATCCAATTGTTCCTATTAAGTATCATTCGCTTGTGAGGCAAACTGCTCAATCAGTTTAAGATCCGCTTGCATGGAGCGAGGAGGTTTGGCAGGCATACTTTGTTCCCTTGCCGACCGGAACTTCGCAGGTCTCCCCGCGGCCCAGTGATGATGGCCTGACACTCAGGGGCACCTGTGGTCGACTCACCTTCGGGTACATGGCATGCACCCGTTCCCGGAACAACGGACCCTTTCCTTTGACATCCCGTTTTGCAGGGGAATGTTCCACTCTGAACCAAACACTTACATAGGGCCCCGGGGCCCCGACTCGGGGCAACTTCCATGTGATGCCTTGGACGTCCGCACACCGAGCCTCTCGCTCACGAACCGAGCCTCGGGCGCGGATACGGCACGGGTTTGGAAAAGGTATTTTCCCTACCATGATTCCCATGATCTACTGTACCATGATCTGCCGGCGTTTGTTTTTTTCTGCCAAAAGCAGAGCCCATACAATATGGAACCTGGATTTGCTGCAGGGTTGCACGGCTTCGTGAAGGGCAAACCCGTGAAATCGGGGTTCAGGTGAAATGTTTTCAGTTTGTTGTTTTAATATTTATGTTTTTTTTGTTGGTAGCGTAGGTTAGGTAGATCATTTTGTGCATGGATGGGAGTTCATTGAATAAGAAGGCACAAAGGAACAAACTGCATGTGTTTTGTCATTGTTGATCTATCGCCTTTCCTTTTGGGGGGACACCCAAACCATAATGATAGGGTACCACTGTGTGTGTGGTGTGTTTTGTTCCAACATATTTTTAGGTCTACGGTATACCGTGTCCAGACACTCCACGATGTCGGGGCAGTGTGGTGCCCCAAGTCCAGACCTCTCAGTCGACCTTTGGGCTGGCGGTTCAGCCCAGCCACCCGAAGAATGACATGTCCCTAGGGCTCGGAAAGCCCATCTCCTCAGGAGGTGTTAGATCCCCACCCCTATCCCACCTACCGAAAAGGAGTTTCGATGGTCGGTCCACGAGCTCGTCAGCTCCGCGTGAAAACGTCCGTGCGTGCGTGGGTGCGTGGGTCGGTTTGGCGAGAAGAAAGTACAGTAGGACATCGGTCGTTCAGCGCCCGGGCCTGGCCATTGGGTTCCAGGCTGGAACGATGACTTTGGGTTCTTCTCGGGTGATGAGGAGGTTCGCGGAAGTGGGAGGTGGCGCCCGTGGAAGTGGCGCCGGTGGAGAAGCGGGCTGAAGAAGCGTAGATCACATCCAGTAGGGAGGGTGCAGTTGTGCTGAGAAAGTGCACCAAAGCATGTAAAGCGATAGGGCCCCCAAAAAGCAACGACCTATAGCATGCAACTATCTTCCAGCGATTTCAGACACCACTGAAACAAAAGCTTCTGACAGTGATAGCACCTGAAGAGAAACAAGTTATGTATGCATCCAATTTCGAGCCAGTGAGGAATGGATTCTAGACTTATGCTGAATCTCTAAAACAGGAGGATTTCCTCAAACCATGTAAAGTACCCAAACAAAGCGATAGCTTCCACTTTCGTACCAGTCCTAAACAATTGATTTTGACTGCGTCTCACATATCTAAATACACTATATGTATAATATCTCGTAGGTTGTGGTTGGGTTAGGTGACTTGACCAGGACTATTCTCATGAGGTCACTTCTATCGATCTTGACAAGGTCACTTAGAGACAGCAAAAGGGTCAGAAAGAATGTCCCTGGTACTATCTCCTGGCTGTGAGAGTCCCTCTCCAGCACGATCGCCAGGTGAACGTCAAAGCGGAGGAGAAGGATACCAACTCCGCATCGGCACCAGTGACTCAGAACCAGCACAGCACAGATTTGGTGTGACACTATTGGTGTCTTTGCATGTTTGGTACAGCGGAAGGGCTGTGAATCATGTCCATCAGGCGAAAAAAGACTCCAAGACCTACAAGAGAATAGGTTTATTGCATATGGATTGTCTGGGGTAAGTATGATATGCCCTTCTTTTCCTCAATGTTCGCATTTGCATTAATTTGTTTGTGCTGCCAAAGTTTGATTGAGATAGCTGCAGGACCACTCGGGGCAACGTGCAGAATGCTGTCAGCCGGACATTTTTCTAATACATGAACAGTTTGTGGAACTGAGTTGGTGGAGTTGATATATGTTGGGTTCTAGGTTGGTGCCGTTAGGATTAGAAAGAGGTATTAGTATTTGCACAAGACGCCATTCAGGAAAAATCTCAAGTTCCAGCTTTCTTTGCAGTTGCTGCTTGCCAGCTACGGTTGTTGAGGTGAGTATGCCGGCTACGGATCCTTTCTCAGCACCACCAGTTGCTTGGATGATTACCGGCATTCACATCAGACTTACACAGTGCCAACATGGTCCTTTTTCTGGTTCAGTTCATATGTTGGCACCGCGACAGCTGGGAATCAATTCCATCAGAAACCACTAGTTTTTGAGGGAATCAAGCAATCCTATTCCAGCATGTGCTGTGCCCAGAGTGCACAGACAATAATTTACGTGTTTTCTGCAGAATGTATTGCGTTGTAAGCACAAAAGGCATTCTTGTGAGTCGTGTCGTGAACAAGCTCGTGCGCGGTCTGGAACTGTCTAGAGATTGGCAACTTGTTGCTTACCGACAACTTGTTGCTAAGACATGGTCAGAGATATGAGATATTAGCATTAATATCTAGATGAAGCTGCCCATGACAGTACAGTCTTGCAAACATAGAGGCACGTTTCCATTGGATTGGGAAGTGACGAGCCAGCCCAGTGGACTGATTGTTTGATTGTGTTGGGAAGCGGGTATAAAGAGTCATTGGGGGCTGGTGTGTGGTCCTGAGCACTTTTTTTTTCCAAGCATGGTCCAAAGGTAGGAGAAAAGCTCTCCCGGAACTCGA